GCTATTTGAAATAATTCCCAATGGATTGCTTTTTCAGAAACTTCCGGAGCTGGTTGCAATCCGAAAGAATACACTTGGTGTGAAACCGCTTACGCTACTTGGCCAATCGTCTTTCTACCCATCATATGTGCTGTGATGGGTGTTGGAGTCCCTTTGGCTGGAATCTCACTCGACACAGTCTATTCGAATATTCTTGGCAACATCGATCAGGTCGGTGAAAAAATGGTTTCAGTAATTGTTCTTTGTACGGGATGTGAAGCTATACAAGCTCATAGGAAGAGTAGCAAGAATGTTCAAAGTCGTTGCTCAACGGAAACAAGAAGTTATCTGGTTTACAGGCAATAGAAAAAAATTACCGGCGTTATTTACCCTTTGCTGCCCCACTTTGCTGAGAATGGGCTGGATTTCTATCGATTTTTTTTTCAAGAATATGATACCTACTGGAAACTTGCCTAGAGGAGTAATTTAACCCGTAGAACACTAATATCGCATCCACTCGTCATGAAAATGCCTGGTGCCCCGAGTTTTCAGCAAGATTGGTGACCCAGCTCCATTTGGCGCCGGCGCCTGTGGCGCGAGCGCTATGCATCTTTATGACGGGTAGAAGCGATATTCGTGTTCCACGGGTAAATTACCCCTCTAGGCAAGTTTCTAGTCGGTTTCGTCTTCTTGAAAAAAAGTTCGATAGAAATCCAGCAGATTCTCGGCAAAATGGGGCAGTAAAGGGTAGTGCCAAATTAATTAATCACCTGTTTTGGCCAATTAATTAAGGGCTTTATTAATGCTGCCGTCAGCTAAAGTTAACGAGCGATAAAATGACAGCCTAAAGAAAGAAGTGATTAAAAACAGCCTCAATATTTCTTCCCGTACTTACCATAACAGTATTTCAGAGTATGATGCAGGGTGCGATGATCGTTTCCGAGGATATCGTGTACATCCTAGGACCGGTTTATGCAGCGTAAGTGTCTGTAGTAGTGTGGAAAGTTCTCGACTCACAAGTAATCCATTTCAGATCGCTGTTCAGCCATGCAGGACAGTCGACATTGTGGTTGTTAAATGGCATCATCGTTACTGGAGGAATACTATTGTGGTTGGCATACTTCTCAAAATTGAAGCGATACATGTAGTTCAACTAGGACGGCATTCATCAGGCAGGCACAGCAGAAGGGTCCCACGAAGGACTTTGCTCTTCGTGAAAGCATGTTCTTTAAAATCATTTGACCAACCAATCCGGGTATTCCCACAATCCTTTAGACCCAATCATAGACGTAATACGTGGAAATGGGTGAGTTGTTTCCAAGAAGAACGTGTAACCTAACCATATAGTATACCATAACCTTATGCAGTCATGGTAATTTCTATTTCAAGCCAATACTCTGGTCATAGAGCATATCTCTTGATAACGTGATAGTATATGTGATAATATATAATACTGGGAATGAGCTCTCTGTGAAATTATTAGAAGGTAAAAACCTTTCCCATGCTTTCTGTATGAAATCATTATCTCAGCAATGGCCGTAAAACAAGCCAATTGAGCGCGCGGTTGCGTAGCGCTGGACAGCAGCGCAGCTGATGAGTCATGCGCAATTCCAAATCGTAACCATTAGAAACAGTAATGTTGTCTGTAAATGAAAAGATATCACGGTAACGGGTCATTCAGCCCCAGAATACGATGATAATATGTAATATTGTGTATTATTTTATGTTATCACGATGTAACATATTTTTTGAGAAGTGAAACTTTTCCAATAAATTGTTTGAAGCCATTCACTAAAAAATGTTTAATAATGGGCTATTTTTCGAACGAGAAATATCTACATTATAAGGATAAGCCAGCCTATCACGAGTGGGGCAATACCGACGGATTTTACTGCAGCGGATAGCCGAGTAACACTGCTGCAGCATAGATGTACATAAAAACGACACGATTCTATCATAATTCAAAAAAAAAGACAGAGAAAACTGGGGGAAAACGCCCCATAAGTCTTCAATGTTGTACAAAAGCTCCTAATTTACTTTGAACACAAGTCGACATCAAAAAACACAACAAACCTAGTAACCATCTAATAATAAACCGGGTATAGGACTATGTAGGGATTTATCAAAGAACATCTGATCCTGAGCGACAGCATACAATGCGCTTCAGAGGCGTATAAATAACTTGCTATATTTTCTAGAAACGGAACTAGCCATTCTTGACCGTGCCATAATTCCAGGGTTCCAGGTGAGGTGTACTGGATACAGGTACATGAAACAAAGCTCAAAACTGAATCTAGCATGAGGGAGATGCACGAAATAAAACACGCTTAGTCACAAAAAATGCTCTAGAACTAAACATGCGGTACAGTGAAAATCAAATTCTACGACACTAACTGAAAAGAAAAAATAATTAAAAATTCCGATTGTAAGCGAACAACGTATCAGTTACACTCCTAAACGGTCAGCTAAACTAAAAACGACGATAGAAAACACTGCTACAAAAAGGTGCTACCTGTGATCGAAAAATTCTGTAATTACTCAATAGAATAGTCGAAACCTCCAAATTGGTGCCTCATCGATATAGGTGAGCATCCTTGAGTAGTTGATGCAAGCCGGCCATTGTCGACCATGCTGCCCCCGTCCTTTCCCATTCCTGTTCAGCCCAATCACTTCGGAGGCATTGGACTCGTTCCGTTGAAAGGAATAGAGGTTTTCCTTAATTGGTCATATATCATAAGGGTAAGTATATGGAAGTATATGAAAAGACCTCAATTACCTCTTCTCAAATTTCGATCTTCTTCACCATGGGCATCCAGGTAGACAGATCCCCAAATAGCTGCCAGACCTTCCCGAACAATTACAATAAGCGAAGAATTCAAGGCTAGGAAGCAACATGCGTCCCTGCCACAATCAAGTGCATGCTAAAATAAGATACAATTTCAGAGTAACTAGGTAGGGAAAACTAGTAGGTCAACTATACAGAGACACATGCATTAGAGTGGTATTCTGAACAATTTCAGAGTAACTAGGCAGGGAAAACTAGTAGGTCACCTATACAGTGGCACATGTATTAGAGTGGTATACTAACTCTGACTACCCTCGAGAATGGTTTCAACCCTAAGCCTGTCACTCTTTTTCTATGAGAGTTGGTTGGATACACGATCATGGAACGATAATTACCTACTCCTGAGCATACCCAGGAAAACACTGCTTCCCTCCCAAGAAAAATTCAGCAAAATTTAAATCATGGAGTCCCTGTCCAGTTCAAAGCCGATTCCTTGAAACTTTGAAAGACATCACGACTCATGTCGACAGCTGTTCTCATGTTTTTTCTCGTAGTCGACATGAGTAGCGTTTTGAAGACTAGTAGGAATTCGTGAGGTCTGGTTCCCTGAACTACAGTTGAGTGGATCCCATGGGAAGCACTTCATGAGTCTGACTCCTGGTGATTAGTCTACTGAAAAAGTAGAATACGAACTGCACAAATTTGATTAGCTCCGTCATAATGTGACTATTTAGTCTTTGTAAACGCATTGTGAAGGATAAAAAAAAGGGTAAGGTGCGTAGTGCCAGATGGCAACTACGCCATACCTACATATATCCGAAATCTCAAATCTCGGATCGACCCTCGACAAAGCCAAAATTTCCCTCCTGGGACATGTGAACACTAAACAATAGGTCTCTCTAGAAGTCACTACTATTCTGAATGGGTGCCGAATGCGTGAACTCATCCCAAATAGAAGATCAGTGACGAAAGGCTTTATCCTATCACTTTCAAATTTCTTCCTTCTTACCAACAATTACAGTCTTGTTGATTGACCAGCACAATTTTAGCGAAAAAGTTTGCTGTGTATTCAAGGTACACCATTTTTGTCCTTTTAATAACAATTCTTTTTTTGACTGCTTTTATAAATAATCCGTAGAAAGCACATTTTGCCTGCAATTAAAAGGAAACCAATTGAGAGGATCATTGAGAGATTGTAAACAGCACTTCTCTAATACCGCAATATTTTCACATGAAATGCAGCATTTTCCGATCCCCTAACTTTTTTTGCTGCAGTAAATTTCGGGCTTCAATCAGAAATCAGTCCAGTGAGATATCTTTGGGAAACTCAAAAAGAAACTATAATAGAAGGGGCAATAACCTTTCCACACGTTCGAATGGCTCATAAGCAAACAAAAATGCGCTTTTATGCGCCTTGTCGGAAATGACTCACTCTTTCGACTTCATTTGAAGGCATAGACCGCTCATGACCAGCGACGTCGGTAATGAAACAACATGCATCCAAGCAAACGAGTGTTGAACACAAAAGACAAACGAACGGGAATAGTGGAGCCTTAAGCGAGCAGGTTGGTTAAGCAATATAAGATACAAAATTTTTGAATGAACAGAGCGTCAATGTACAGCCGCTGTCGCAGGAATAAAAAGAGAGAAAATGGCTTAAAATGGAATTTATTCACACTATTGGGGTCGCTGTCCTACTGGAATGCCTACGGCGAAGAGCTGCCCTTGAAAAACAATGGATTTCCGCATTGAACTCACCTTGTTACAATTAATACAAACTCGTTGGAAATACCGAGCGAACAATACGTCGTACTCATAAGGAAGTTCCAGTAGAAGGAACGGGCGCCACATCAACGGTTCCATGCTGAACGCCTGAAATATCCGGGAAGTTTAAATGGCTTGGTTCTGATTCACCCAACCTCTTGATCATTCTTCGAATATTGAGATGAAAGTATTGTTCATGAGTTCTATGCTCGGCATTAGCCTTTCAGATAAAACGGTCACTCTCTTTCCCTTCGTCATTACATTTTGGCATCGTGGACATAAGGTGCCACCTCAAGACAAACATTTGCCAACACTGTAATCACTTTTACAATATTTCCCGTGTAATACTGTTGCATTCAAACTTTCTTGTCTTTCGTAAGTAACTTCCAAGCAAATTCCGATAGCATGGTATCTCCGAGTTACTAAAAGCTCTCCTGAGGGCAGGACTCAAACGAGTAACCATAAGTTAAACGTCCAAATTGAAAAATGCTTCTCGTAAATCAGCTTTTTGGTCATCTTCGATCTGTTACCGAAAATTGAGGACCCAAGTGGCATACCATGAGATCAGATCATAATTCTCTCTTCAATTAGATTCAGAGGAGCTCCTGAACATTATTCTGCTCTAAAGAGAAAGTTGAAAGCCGTCTCCAAGTTAGGCTGTTTGCGGAGCGAAGATGTCTGTCTCACACTTTCTTGCATGGTCCCCGTCCGTGGACTCCGCGAAAGCTCAATCCTGAGTTCAAAAACCGGAATTTACGCTGCCGAGTTCCCGAGCTCCGTGACGC